GTAGTAGTAGTAGTAGTAGTAGTAGCAGGAGGAGGTGGAGGAGGAGGAGGAGTAGGAGTAGGAGTAGGAGTAGGAATAGGAGTAGGAGTAGGAGTAGGAGTAGGAGTAGGAGTAGGAGTAGTCGTTGTTGTTGCAACAGCAGCAACAGCAGGAGTAGCAGCAATAGTAGTCTTCATCGTATTAGTAGTCATCGTCGGACATCAGAGTCAGAAGAAACGTCAATCTTCACAATCAGGGCAGAAGTGATACTTTTGCTACTGTAAGAGCCGTGCTAGGTAGCAGTACCCTAAACCCTAAACCCTAAACCCTAAACCCTAAACCCTAAACCGTGATGATAAGCCGTTGTCGACCAAGGTGTGGAGTTTCGATGACAACCTTTGCGAGCTACGGCCGCCCCCTTAGGAGTGCCAGAGGAGTTCTTTAGGGTTTAATATAGGGGCCTGAATAATTACCTTTCTTGTTTTGGGGTTCCTTAGTATAATTATAGAATAAGGGGCCCAAAACCCTATTTTAATTGTTATTCCCAACCACTGGTCAGCTCAAGTGGTCACGGGGTTTTCGTGGTGACAGGGATTTGAAGATCAGGGGCCCCCTATTGGGTTAAAGGATTTGTGGTTCGGTTCTCTGGGGCTTATGTATGTCGTCTGAATGCGGTTGATTATGAATGTTGGATTGCGTGAATTTGCATGTATGTCGGTCTGTGAAGGCGCCGACGGGCTGTCGGGTAGGCGATCCTTTCCGGCTGCGCAGGGTGTTCGAAGGTTACATGTCCCAAGAAAGCAGTATCCTACGATTTTTGGGATGTGGATTTAGGGTATGATACCCTAAACCCTCGTCCCGGCCAAGTCTTGATACAAAGCACCGTCTAGTTTAGGGGCCTTTTGAATACAGTAAGGCTTCGAGGGTATATGACTGTATTATGGAGTTGTATACGGGGCATACTGTTCAGACCTCATATGTGTTTGGGTTTGTTCTTACTAAGGGGTCCTTGTAAGAAGGATCGTGTGAGATGCGTGTGACTTTTCGAAGTCTGAACCAACAACACCGAATTCCGAACACACGAAAGCCCAGAACCCTGAACCCCAGACCCTAAGCCCAAAGCCTAAACCCTAACCGCAAAGGCTTCATAAGTCAAAATCCGGAAGTTTTCAGAACCATTCCGCCCTTAGTAAGCCGGAAAGCCCAAAACCGTGCAGGAATTGACTACTCTAGGGGCCTGAATAATTGCCAATACTATTTTGGGGGCTCCTTGTTATTATAGCTCTAGTAGAACCCTCTAGTGTAAATATTCAGGCCCCATTACTACCCCAAACCCTAAACCCCAAACCCTAAACCCTAGGCCCTAAACCCCAGACCCCTAAAGCCTAAACCCTGGAGCATTTCGCAGAAAGGGGCGCCAATACACTTAAAACAAACAAACCCTGAACCCCAAACCCTAGGCCCTGAACCCGGACCCGACGTGCCAAGGGGCGGGTTTCCAACCCATCTTCTCGTTGCTTCGCACAGGAAGATTCTGGAGGCTCTCATGGATGCCTGGCAAGACTCAAGCTACATCCTACCTGAACCTACCATAACCCACCTTTTTATAGGTTCTTATTATAAACCCTAATATGGGATTTATAGGGAGCCTACAAAAAAGTAGGTTCTGGTAGGTTAAGGTAAACCCTAAACCCTAAACCCTAATATCTAAACCCTAAACGGTTTCATCCTGTGGGGTAGGGTTCAGGGTTTAGGGCCTGGGGGGAGGGCCTTCCAGGGTTCCGTCAAGCCTTCCGAAGAATCCTAGAAGGGGCTTAGGGCTAAGGGTTTCGGACGCGTTTTGCAAGACCGAGCCGTTGTTAGGAATCGGGGGTTGAGGGTATGAACATGGCTTTCCTTGTGGGGATGGAATGCCTGAAGCCACACTCTGACACCCCAAACACACCTTCAAGTTTAGGGGGCATATGATTGCTACTCTATTCGTCTGGCTTTGCTTCACTTTATAGTAGTTAATCAATTTGCTGGCTGCCAGGCCTTGTTCGTTGCCTAAATCGGGATCCCAAATCCCCTAACCTGGGTTGCAGTTTTGAGGACCTGACGAGAACTGATGGATAGGCACCTCTATAGGAACCTTAAAGAGAAATTGAACAGTTTCCCAAAGTGCCGCCTAGGAACCCAACAATCTTCAACGAGACGTTTCAGGGTTCAGACCCATCCCTCATCCGCGGACTCGACCCGCCAGACCCTACACGCCCCAAGCCCTAAAGTTCAGTCTGACAGCTGGGCTTTTTTGCTTACCCTGGGGCTCCAAAGAGCCCAAAGTATAGGTAGGTACTATTTATAGACCCTGCCAACCCTCATCAGAGGTTCAGTGTTTAGGATTTAGGGTACTTGGAGGATCATGGGACTTAGTAAGTAAGGTTATAAGTATTCTGATTGGGGTTATAAGTATCGTTTCCTTAGGTATAACCCTAGTTACTAAGCCCCATGATCCTTTAAGTTGTCAACAAACAGCAGAAAACCCAAGCCTACCTTCCCCAGCACCAACCCCCCAACCAAAACCCTGATGTATGCCGCACGCCTGATCCTGAATCCTAATCTTTGATTTGCACCCTCAGCTCTAGTCTAAATCATCAAAGCTTACTTCCTAATTCCCATGCTCTATCTCCAAGATCCTAAGACCCCCTGCTGATGATATAAATCCTGTGCTACCTTATATAAGGACCCGGAACTATGGGAATTAGGGTATATTCCTTTTTATGGGTAAACCCTAAACCCTATACCCTATACCCTAAACCCTATACCCTAAACCCTATACCTTTCCCCCTAAACCAAGGATTTCCATTATCAACCGTAAGACACCTAAGTCGCCAACCCGCCGAAACCGCAAAGCCACCCCGAGAGCACGAGGTTTAGGGTTTGGGGGTTTGGGGTTTCGGGGTTTAGGGTTTAGGGTTTAGGGGTTAGGGTTTAGGGTTTAGGGGTTTAGGGGCTTAGGGGTTAGGGGTTTAGGGTTTCTGGGAGAAGGCCTGTGTTTGGGACTTGCTGCAGCTTTGTGATGATCACTTCGCTGCCAGACTCTGCACTCCTCGGTAGGGGCAGGATCATGGGACTTAGTAAGCAAGGTTATAAGTCCCTTCATTGGAAATTATAAGTATAGTTATAACCCTACTTACTAAGTCCCATGATCCTTTAAGTAGGGGGATGATCTCTTCTTCAGTAAGGAAGAAATTCGTATTGTTGGTTTTTTCTGAGATTTAATCCAGAGGTTTGGGGATCATGGGGATGTTTGGAAGGCCTAGGTAGTCTTAGATAACCTGGGCTTTGAAGTAACCAGGGAGAAAGAAGTATAGACTTTTATTTCATAATGGCTCCTTTAAGGAACAGGTCCGGAAAAAAGTATTAACGTATGGTACTCCAGAGCCCAGTAACGGGTTCAGGCCACTAGTTCTTGTACTTGTGCTGTTCCCTAAACCCTAAACCCTAAACCCCCAAACCCTAAACCCCTAAGCCCTAATGTTGGGTTGTTGTTTTTGGTCTTCGAGAACTTTGGGCGTTATAGAGGCGTCCGGGCATTCAGTGCCGGCCATCTGCTGGCTTAAGGGATCTTGTCGGTTTGGGCTTGGGTTTGGGTTTAGGGTTTAGGGTTTAGGGTCTCGGGTTTCGGGTTTCGGGTTTAGGGTAAACCCTGGTAGAACTTATTGTAGACCGTTCCGAACATACAAGAATCGTGGCGTTCAACGATTGCCAAAAGGCTAGTGGCCGACCTGGTTACTGGGTTGACTTCCGAACTCCCAGAAAATTGCTTTCAACTGTCAATCGGGGGTTCTATTGCTTCTGACGGACCAAGGGCTTGATGTATATTATAGCAGGTAAAGACTAAAGAGGGATAGACTACTCAGGAATACATTGTGAGGTTGAGGGCTTCGTTCGGGGCTTCCAGGTCCAGAACTTCAAGGCTTGAGGCCTGCGGGTCTTAAAATAAGGGTTTAGGGTTTAGGGTTTAGGGTTAAGGCATGTATTTTGGGGTGCCTTGCCCATAGGCCCCATAGTAGTTCCTTTTTGGGATTACCTTAGAGGATACTAAATTTATGAACCCCAAAGAGGAACTACCATGGGGCCTATGGGTGGAGCTTACTAGCGATTAAGGTTTCGGGATTCGCCTTCGGCTTTGCAGTTGCCGTCAGTAGCCCCTACTTGGAGGTTCATGGGTAGTTATAAGTAGGGTTATATAAGTAGGGTAACTATGATTATAACCTATATTAGGGGACTTATAACTCCACTTATAACTACCCATGAACCTCCAAGTAGGCTTTGCGTTTTCGGGCTTTGGGTCTACAGCTCCAGAGGCTTCCAGGGCCTTCTGGTCCCTTGGAAAGGCCGAAGGAGGCCAACGGCAGGACACTTCTCACGCCTTTGGGGCTCCGAAAAATCTTAGACCTTCCATCCCTGAAAACCATGCGCCCCGCGCCCGAAACCTCAGTCCTTAAACCTCATGGTTTAGGGTGTAGGGTTTACCCTAAACCCTAAACCTCACACCTTAAACCTGCCCATCGCACGCTAAACTCTGAACCTCAACTCGCGGACGGTGTACGTCATTTCCCCCACAGCCTGAATGATTAGTAGTACTTAGGATTGTCAAGGGATCCTTGACAGAACTGTCCTAAAAGATACATCGAACCTTATTCAGTTTGTGGAGATACTTGGCCCCAAAGCATGTGTGGGCTCGTAGGCCAATACTTGGCTTTGAAATCGGATTGTCGTCCTCTCATCTAAACTCTTCCTACATCAAAAACGCCTGGGCCACTGTTTACGCACTGCTTAAGGTTTGGTCTTCAGGGTTAGGTTTAGGGGTTTAGGGTTCAGGGTTGGGCCAAAGGCGAAGACCGCTGGCGGGAGTTTGAGAAAAATCGGGAACCCTGGTAGAGAGCAAAGTAGTAGGCGCCTAAATAGACAAGGAGCCCCGAAAGGTTTAAGGTTTAGGGTTTAGGGGTCTAGGGGTTTAGGGACGCTAGGGGCCCTGATGGGCTTTAATTAATGCTTGGACAAACTACGAAGCCTAAGTGACTAGAAATGCCATGTTCATGATCCTTGGGCTCCTTGTGCTTAACTATATTAATGTAGAGACCCTAAAATCCTGTTTGCTATTCGGATTATTAATAACCAATGAGAAGCCCTCTTGGGGCTCCTTCAAGGGTTCCTATGCGGGTTCCGCTAGGGTTTGGGGTTTAGGGCTTATAGGGTTCGGTCTAGAAGGTCGGAGTTCAGAATCGTTTAGGGTTTAGTTTAGGGTTTAGGGTTTAGGGTTTAGGGTTTAGGGTTTAGGGTTTAGGGTTTAGGGTTTAGGGTTTAGGGTTTAGGGTTTAGGGTTTTGGGGTCCGGACCGAGAGTCTTGCTATCGCAGTTACCCATTCCGCTGGCGTGTGTGCCTCAGCGACACGGGGTTCGATGTATGAGGCTCTAGATGCACCTACGTGAGTCACCGTGTGTTTACGGGGATGTGTTTGGGCACATTCGTTTCCATGAGTCGTTGCTGCTTCTTCTTGGTTTCATGCCTTTTTGCTGGAGCGGACCTTATGACTCCTCGCAGCCAAATAAGTCCATCTGAATTTTGAACGGCCATTTCCATGGCCGATACTGCCCACAACACTACGCCCAATATGTTCTTAGACACCGAAAACTATAGTGCCCCTAGACACTCTGTTCCCAGGATCTCCGGCGCCCCTAATACAGGCCCAAAGGACTCGGATCCAGAGCACAAAAGACCCATCTGGCATCAGACGCTATGAGTTTAACGTAGGAACCTGATTACGAGACGCTGGGCCTTTATTCGGGTTCTTTAAAAATCTTCATATGTTGGGGTTGTGGGGCCTGGGTTTCTTAATCAAGCTTCTACATTACAGGCTCTGGCAAATCGTGTGTCGGCAGGAGAACTCAACAAGCAACAAGAGCAACACAGGAGGGAAGGAACAGTAAGCCAAGTCATCAGCATGCCACGCTGAAAAAGCCGATGCATGGAAGAAACCCCATCAGAACGACAAACCGGCTGTTGCAATCTCAAGTTGGGCTACGATGCATTTCATAGTATGGTATTCCCCAACACCCTCTTCTTACTTTCTAAGGCCCCAAGTAATTCATACGTTGTCGTACATATTCAAAAATGTAGAATCACATTCAAGTTGCTGCAGCGGCAAAGCGTGGAAAATGTAGAATAGCCGCGATGCTTGAGCCGATAAGCTCTGCCTGGTCGCGGCGTCGGATTTAGCGATACATCTTGGGGGCTGTCACAGCTTCAAGCCTGTTGCTTGCTTAGGATTAGGTGTAGGATGGTCACCTGCACGCAAATAGGGAACGTGAGCACGAAACAGAAGGTACTGAACTTGAAAGCTCGATTATCGGGATGTCTGTCGGAAGGATCAGGTGACTCGGTAAGTAGATCATCAATAGAGCTACATTGTTACTGTTTACACCGCAGTTAGAATACTTCGGCTTGTAAAATGGTCTCTACGTCCCCCTGCTCTCCCATCCCCCCTTTGCCTTGAGCATTAGACTATGGTCCCCTTCTCCGAGGAGGAACGGTCTCATCTCGGCACAAGATGAACCTGCAAAAAATGATATTTCTTTGCACTAAGAATGCTCCTGACCAGCCTTTTCGCGCTGCGAGTTGAAGCAATTCGCGGGCTCTTGCGAGGTGTGCTTCTGGCAAGCCGGTCAGGACGGTTCACTATTTAGGGTTTATGGGATCGACAGCACCTGAATACACTCTCAGAAGCCCTAAACCACAGTTTTGACATCGCGGCCCAGCAACGACCCCTCAACAACTCCGGCCATTTGGCGGAGTGCTACTCCGTACAACTTGAGTTGATATGGCAGCAAACTCGGCACAACTTCCCCTTCCGAACCACGTGGGCACGGAGGAAGTCTTCAAAAGCCGCAAGACCTTAAGCCGCGCGCGGCGCTAATGGAAAATCAGTCCCAGTCGTATATGGACCTAAGTTAACCCAGGTCCCAGGCTAACCTTCAGTTTCTCATTCAGCATTTTAACTTTCTCGGCAAGGGTTTCATATCATTATCTGGGGTATTCAACGACAGGCATCCTTGACTCACACCGGTCACGGTGGCTGCTTGAGGAGCATCTGGTCACATGATGTTCGGTCCTGTGAAGGATAACATAGCGGCCTAGATAGTTAGAACTCTAGGGAACAGCATTGGTAACTATGCATATGGGTAGTTCTCTGAAGTAGGGTCCCTTTTTGGATGCCCAATATAGTACGGCACCCTTCTACAAAGGCCCTTAAAGGGGACCCTAATTTTTTCCGAACTACTCAGATTGGTTGCCGCCTTTTCTATTGGGGGGAGGCTTGAGGATCTTGTTGAAGGCAACAATTCCGAAGTGCAAGGTGCATGCAACTTTTGCAAGGCCGAGTGACTCGACACCCTTCGGTTTGATTATTGCAGGGAGCGAGCTTTCGCATGGCAGGAGTTGCTACAGTCCCTTTGCATGCAAATTTCGGTGCTTCAAACATGTCCTTAGAGCCCATTAACCGAAGCTCCACCCGAAGCCGCCCAAGCCACAGACACACAACCCAAGCTCTCACCGACGCTTCACAAGATTGTGCAACTGTTCACACGCTGAAGCGAATCCCGCAGCATGAATCCCCCCCGGCTTTTTCTACCGAGATCCCGTGAGGAAGCCCTAAGCCCTAAACCCCGAAACCCCTAAACCCTAAAAGCATCTTGTAAGATTGCGAGCAAAACACAAAACGACACGACTGGCCCTCAGAGCTTGTGGTGGGGCGGAGCTCGGGCTGAAAAGCCCAAGAATGTAGGTGCCTTAATAATTAGAATAGGGTTTGGGTGCCCATGATACTATAACTATAATAAGGAGCCCCCAGAATAGTATAGGTAACTATTTAGGTCTCTACATTAGGCGTGTGGCTTGTCGCATTGCCTCTTGCGCCTGGGCATGGAACCAAGCCCACTCCGCCTCGTATCCGCGGTGCTTCCGGGCATCTTGGACGGGTTCCAACAAGCCTGTCGTGCCAGTGTGCGGGCCTGGGCATCCACACTGTGAGGGGCTTCATACCTCGTGGCACGTGCGCCTGGACCACATAGTGGTCGCCAATGTTGGCGACATCCCGACCGAAAGCTTGGGTAGACGTCAGCCTGTTGACTCAGCCAGTAGTCGATGCATCTGGTGCCGCCGAGCGGGAACTTACGTTGTGCAAGCCACGCTGCTAACTGTGTAAACCATTCAATCCCGGACTGGTCGCAAGACCTGCTCCCCGTCAGGGAATCTGTAAAAGGGCTCCTTTAAGGATAGGATAGGGTTTAGGAGAGTAGGGTTAAGGGGTTTCAGGGTTATTGGGGCTCTGCCTGCTCTGCAGTTTCCTTTAAGAGTCCTGCGTTGTCGAAGGACTTCACCCACTCGATAGACCAGAAATCGTTTGCAAGGTCTGGATTGCAGATGTATGCCTGAGCTGAGTTCAGGATTCAGAGTTTAGTTTAGTCTTGAGGGCTTAGGATCAGTGATGTACGGATTTGGGACCTATTTTGGGGGTTCCCCAAAATAGGGGACCCCAAAATGGTACATAGTACCCTCAAAGGTAGGATGCTCATTATAAGGAGCCCCAAATAAGGTACCCACCCTATTTTCTTCGAAAACTCCAATAGGAACCTATAGCGCCCAAGGCTATTGGGGTATGAGTTCTATGACAGCTTGTCGAGGTCCCAAGCCGGCAAACCTGATTTCCATGACGGCTTTAGGATTTAGGGTTTGGGGTTCCTAAACCCTAAACCCTAAACCCTAAACCCTATGTAAACCCTAAGGGCCAGTGCTGTCGAACCTCTCTTCGGGCTTAGGGTTTAGGGTTCAGGGTCTCTTTGCAAGGCTTCAACTGCCGCTTCAATGAATGAATAAGGTAGGGGCCTTAATAATTAGAATGGGGGTCTTGGGGTTCCTGATTATAAATATATACTTATAGATAGTGGGCTGATTAATGTAGGGGCCTTACTAATTAGAATGGGGTCTTGGGGGTTCCTGATTATAACTATAACTATTTTTTCATCGGCTACAGCCACGAAAAAGCCGATGCCCTTGCCACTTCGTCTCTCCTTTCTGTGGCAAGCTTCCACCCTGTGCGTCGACAACCGGAAAGCCCGAAGGCCCAAACAAGCACAAACGTTTCTGGGGCTGGCTTCACATCTTTACATAATAATGGCTCACTGTCATAAAGGCCCTGAGGGGGTCTCGAAATCAGTTTTCAACTTTGTCGGGTTGCAGCTCAGGATGTGGAGGGTCGAAAAACGATAGCTCACGGTACTTTTGTTGAAACAAGAGCCTCTCTTGCTCTCTCTCGTTCTCTCTCTTTGTATCTTTTCTTTTTCTCTCTCTCTCTCTATCTCTC